TCTCTCTCTCTCCCCCTCCCCCCTCTCCCCTCCTCTCCCTCCCTTCTCCTTCCCTCCCTCTCTCACACACATATACCCTTTGTGTTTCCTGGCATTCCTGTGGAAGCCAGAGCTGGAGGGCTTGCAGCTGGCCCCACCATCTGCCTTCCTAACTTCTTCCAGATTTTTCCCTCCTGGAGCCCTGTCAAGATGGAGTTGTGAAGGAGGGTGTGGGGGCCATTGGAGGCAAAAGGTTGAGACTGAGCAGGGCTGTGTGAGGGGCTTTACACAGGGCCTGTCACACAGCAGCCATTGGATGAAGGAAGGATGTTAGCTTAGAGGAATGGGTCCCCAGGGGCTAAGTGATGGCTGTCAGTCTGCAGGGTTGGCCTCACTGATGAGGAGGAAGAAACCAGGTCACAGAGTTCCCTGTCCACACCGCACTTGAGCAGGCAGTTCCTGTTTCTGCAGGCCACCAGGGTGCGGCTAGGGAGCCACCAGGACGCCCCTCTCTCCCTTCAACCATCTGTCTTATCCCAATAGAAGTAATACCCAACACAGACCTCAGTCAGGGATGGGCAATGGGGCTGTTCCCACAGAGGTCTCCAGGCTGAGGGCACAACTAGAGCCTGCAGGGAGCAGGCCAGGGCCTGTAGGGAGAAGTGTAGACAACTTTTATGTAATTAATTTGTTTTGAGATAGAACCCACCTCTTCGTTCATTAGAGTGTGACTCACTGGCTTTTCAAATAATCATAGTGCAAGTGGGCTATACGGTGTGCCTGTGGTCCCAGCTACTAGGGATGCCCAGCGTGGAGGGTTACCTGAGCCTGGGTTCAAGGCCAGCCTGGACAGCACAGTCCCAAGGCCAGACAAAAAGGACTCACCATCTTGTGCAGCGATAGCCACTCTTCAGCCCCAGACAGTTCTCATTGCTTCAGAGGGAGTCTATGCTGCTGGCCTGGACCTCCATCCCCTCCCCCAGAACCTGGCAGCTGGACTTCCTTGCTTTGCCTCTGTGGGTTTGCCTGTTTCCAGCTCATTGTAGAGTACTGTGTATCATTGCCCCACTCCTTTTTATGACTGAATAATACTCCATGCATGGAGCTGCATGTTTGTTCTGTCCTTACATGAACTGCCCAGTACTTGACTTTCTGTCTGAGGCCGAGTGATGCTGTTCATTTGTTGTGAGCTTCTGTCTGAACAAGGCTTCAGTTCTCCTGGGCACATACCTCAGCAGGGGGTTGCTGGATCCTATGGTGACCTTGTGCTTAACTTTCTGAGAAACCCACCACCAAGCTGTTCCCATGTAAGTCGCCCCCTTTCACAGCCCTGCCAGCCAGGCCCAAGAGCACCTCCCACACCTTCCCAGCCATGCCCAAGAGCACTTCCCACACCTCCCAGTTACTGTGGGTCTTTGCATCTTCTTGCTGGTCATTTTTATGTCCATGGAGAGAGTCTCTGTGCAAGCCCTTTTTCTGTTTTCTTAAACAACTGGGTTATTTGCAATAGAGCTGCAGATTCTTTGTTCTAGATGTTAGTGATGGTAGTGTGTGTCCCTCTAGGAGTCCCAAAATCTAATTGGTTGGTATTTTTCTGTCTGAGGTCATTGGAAACAGCCCCATTTTGAGTCCTGCTTTTGCAACCCCAACTTTTGCCTTGGTCAGCCTTGCTCAGCCTTGCTCAGTGTGGAAGAGTTTCTCAGGTGGGCTTCTGTAGTGACTTAGAGCAGTGAGAGCACATGTTCCCTGAAGAGGACCCACAGGAACCCCCAAAATCACAGGGGCAGGCTTCCACCACCCCTGTGACCTTTCCTACCTGAACCCAAGCAGCCAGCCATGGGCCTTCCAAGTGCTGGCAGGAGCAGGCCCAGTCCTACCTCTGTAGAGGTCTGACCACAGGAGGGTCCCAGGAGCAGGTGCTTAGGGAAATGTGTAGTCCTTAGGAAGCCTGATACAGAGCTGGGGTTTAGCAGGGTGGAAACCTAAACCTCAAAGACACCAGAGTTTAGTGTGTGGGGTGCCAGCCAGGTACAGGGCTACAGCATGCCTGTGGTACAGGCCTTGTGCAACGGTGACATGAGGCCCTAACACCACCACCACCATTCCCCGGACTAAATCACCCACAACATGTTGCCCAGAGTTTTCAAGCCTTTTCTCCAGAGCTGCTGGTAGGGGCTGGACTTAAGGGAGTAGGGTGCAAAGGCCAGAAGGATGTAAACTGAAGGAACAGGCGGATGGAGCTTGGGGTGTGGGCCGGGCTGGGGAGGGGTGGCCAGACACCAGTGCCTGAGGGCAGGGGGCCCTAAGTGCAGTGGCGTCTGAGCTTCCCACAGAGCCTTAAAAATAGGGCCATGGTGATGTCTATCTCGGCAGACCACAGCTTGCTGGAGCTAAGAATATTCTTGAACCTCTTAATAATTCAAGTTAGATCCAAATAGATTTTCCTATTCATCCACAGCCTCTGTGCCCCTTCCCAGTGTCCTCATCCTGCCAGGCAGCTGAGAGAAAAGGCTTCCAGAAGAAGCTGGCCTGGCCTGGCCTGGCCTTTGGGTCATTCAGAACCCTAGCTAGCTTCCTTTCCTGCTCCTGTGCAGTCAGGGATGGTGGATGCAGTCAGGGCTGGAGTGGCCCACTGTGGCCTAACCATGGCCAACCCTGGGGAGATGCCCAAGCCACCCACAGCCAGGCATCAGGCTGGAGCCCCTTGGCTCTTTCTCAACACCTTGCTAGAGCCACGTTCTGCCTCCAGATATACCCCCTGTACAAGACCCCAGGAGTGTTCTCCCACGAGAGTCTCTGAAGGGTTCATCTGGGATCATGTCCTGGTGGGGACATCTATACAGGGCTCCAGTCTAAGGATTCTGCTCCTGTGTGCTGTATGTGCCTGGGCAAGCCTCTCTACCTCTCTGTACCTCTCTCCCTATTAGTGGGGTGGTAGAGTTAGTGCCCCAGAATCAGCAGTGGTGTTTAGGGTATTGGCCTGGACCACCTTCCCCTCTAGAGACAGTGCCAAGCTGTATACACCCCTTACCTGCCTGTCAGTGGGGGGAGAGGGACTGTTCTGGTTTCAAAGGTGAGGAACTTGTGGTCAATGTGCCAGAGTGGAAGCCCACCTGCCTGGCCCACTAACCCCAACAGCAACCAGCCCAGAAGTCCTGTTGCACCATCCTAGCCAGGTTCAGCATAGAATTTACTAAATTATTAATTAGGCAAAGGCACAGGGTGGAGGCACCTCTGACATGGCCCAAGGGGTAATTAAGCAGGTGTCAACAGAGGTGATGGAGCAGAGCACTGTGTCCCATTTGCCTCCCACAGGAACCCCTGTGTAAGGTTCCTTGAAGAGTCCTGAGAAAGGGGAAGGTAAAGTACAGGGGTCCAGACTCCAGGCAGAAGGGCCCAGCCGGAGGCTTGTGGAGAACTAAGAATACAGGCAGCTCAGATGTTTGAGGTTGGGGTGTTTCTGTTTTGTTTTGTTTGAAACAAGGTCTCCTGTAGCCCAGGTAGCCTAGCATGACCTTGAGCTTCTGCTTGCCCTGCCTCTCTTTCTGAGTGGTAAGATTGTAATCTGTGCTACCACACTGTGGTGCTGGGGATGGAGCTCAGGGCCTCATGCATCCCAGGCAAACACTACCAACTGACCGCAAACACTACCAATTGACCGCAAACACTACCAACTGACCGCAAACACTACCAGCTGACCGCAAACACTACCAGCTGACCGCAAACACTACCAGCTGACCGCAAACACTACCAGCTGACCGCAAACACTACCAGCTGACCGCAAACACTACCAGCTGACCGCAAACACTACCAGCTGACCGCAAACACTACCAGCTGACCGCAAACACTACCAGCTGACCGCAAACACTACCAGCTGACCGCAAACACTACCAGCTGACCGCAAACACTACCAGCTGACCGCAAACACTACCAGCTGACCGCAAACACTACCAGCTGACCGCAAACACTACCAGCTGACCGCAAACACTACCAGCTGACCGCAAACACTACCAGCTGACCGCAAACACTACCAGCTGACCGCAAACACTACCAGCTGACCGCAAACACTACCAGCTGACCGCAAACACTACCAGCTGACCGCAAACACTACCAGCTGACCGCAAACACTACCAGCTGACCGCAAACACTACCAGCTGACCGCAAACACTACCAGCTGACCGCAAACACTACCAGCTGACCGCAAACACTACCAGCTGACCGCAAACACTACCAGCTGACCGCAAACACTACCAGCTGACCGCAAACACTACCAGCTGACCGCAAACACTACCAGCTGACCGCAAACACTACCAGCTGACCGCAAACACTACCAGCTGACCGCAAACACTACCAGCTGACCGCAAACACTACCAGCTGACCGCAAACACTACCAGCTGACCGCAAACACTACCAGCTGACCGCAAACACTACCAGCTGACCGCAAACACTACCAGCTGACCGCAAACACTACCAGCTGACCGCAAACACTACCAGCTGACCGCAAACACTACCAGCTGACCGCAAACACTACCAGCTGACCGCAAACACTACCAGCTGACCGCAAACACTACCAGCTGACCGCAAACACTACCAGCTGACCGCAAACACTACCAGCTGACCGCAAACACTACCAGCTGACCGCAAACACTACCAGCTGACCGCAAACACTACCAGCTGACCGCAAACACTACCAGCTGACCGCAAACACTACCAGCTGACCGCAAACACTACCAGCTGACCGCAAACACTACCAGCTGACCGCAAACACTACCAGCTGACCGCAAACACTACCAGCTGACCGCAAACACTACCAGCTGACCGCAAACACTACCAGCTGACCGCAAACACTACCAGCTGACCGCAAACACTACCAGCTGACCGCAAACACTACCAGCTGACCGCAAACACTACCAGCTGACCGCAAACACTACCAGCTGACCGCAAACACTACCAGCTGACCGCAAACACTACCAGCTGACCGCAAACACTACCAGCTGACCGCAAACACTACCAGCTGACCGCAAACACTACCAGCTGACCGCAAACACTACCAGCTGACCGCAAACACTACCAGCTGACCGCAAACACTACCAGCTGACCGCAAACACTACCAGCTGACCGCAAACACTACCAGCTGACCGCAAACACTACCAGCTGACCGCAAACACTACCAGCTGACCGCAAACACTACCAGCTGACCGCAAACACTACCAGCTGACCGCAAACACTACCAGCTGACCGCAAACACTACCAGCTGACCGCAAACACTACCAGCTGACCGCAAACACTACCAGCTGACCGCAAACACTACCAGCTGACCGCAAACACTACCAGCTGACCGCAAACACTACCAGCTGACCGCAAACACTACCAGCTGACCGCAAACACTACCAACTGACCGCAAACACTACCAACTGACCGCAAACACTACCAGCTGACCGCATCCCCAGCAGTGCGTTTTGTTATAGTCGCATAAATTTCATTCACTGTTTTTCTAGTCAAAGTCATGAGCCTGCATTGTTTGGGTAATCATGTTCTATAGGGCTTGCAATGAGAAACCAGCAGCCCCTTGTCCCAGGTGCCCCTTCCTTGACCTTTCTGAGAGGCAAATTTTCTGTTATTTTAGCTGATTATTTACTTTTTGGTTTGTCTTTTGGTTTGGTCTTTTTGAGACTGGGGGACCTCTGTGAGTTCAGGGCCAGCCTGGTCTACGTAGTGAGTTTTAGGCCAGCTGGGGCTACAGGGAGACCTGTCTCAAAATTTTTTTTGTTTTTATTTAAGTGTTTTTGTATGTGCACACATGCCCTAGAGCAGGAGTAACAGGCGGTCGTGAGCTCTCAGACACAGGTGCTGGGAACTGAAGTCTGCCAGAGTGTCAAGCACTCTTAACCACTAAGCCATCTCTCCAGCCTCTAAATATTTACCTCTAAAAACATGCAAAGGTTTTTGCTTTTTGTCCCCTTCCAGTTTTAAAAATTACCCATTGATTCCCTGCTGTTGGGATTGGAGTATATTCTCTCTCAGTGGCCTTGCCGTGTGCCCCTGTGCACAAGCATATACAGACAGACACACACACACACATTCTTGCTTCCCCCATCTATGGAATCTGAATCCATTGTCTGCGTGATTATTTCTTTGCAAATACTAGTCACAGCTGAGTAATATATTGTAATTACTTTTTTCCCTTGTACAACTGCTTGTTTTTTTCTGGGCTTAATAATTGCCTTGTTTGAGGAGGAGGTGGGTTTATTTCCCATGTACCCATTACTTATTTCTGCCCAAACCCTGCAATGGAATAAATAGAGTATAAATCTCTTTTAGGCACAGTGGAAGTAGTAGCCATGCATGAGCTTGACTTCTTGGTGCCTCTGGAAGCCAGCACGGCCCAGTGCCCACCTTTCCAGGTTTGTGTCTTTGTCCTGGCACCAGGGTTGCTTGTGTGACTCACAGACAATGGCAGAAATAACAAGGGGCCATCCCCAACTTCAGATTGTCCCTCTTTCCCTCCCTCCCTCTCTCCCTCAGTGATGGAAGTCAGTTGTCACATCACAAGCTGCTCTGAGAAGGCCCAAATAGCAAGGATTTAGGGGTCCTGCCATCCCCATGAGGACACCATCTTAGAAGTGTCATCAAGACTTCAGGTGACAGAAACCATAGCTGTCATCGTCATGACCTCGTGAGTGTCTGAGCTAGAGCCCCAGCCCATCTGGTTCCAGACTCCTGTCCCTCAGAAACCACAAAGCTGTAGTAAATCTTTGTTCCAAGATAATTTGATAATTCTTGCTTCCAGGCCCACCTGTAACCACTGTGCAGCCCCCTCCTGGACCTGAGGATTTTACATTTGTACCATGGGGTGCAGTCTTCAACCCTCCTTCCACCATCCCATGTAATCTTCCCTCTCACCCATTGAGTTTTGTTTTGTTTTGAGTCAAGGTCTCACTATGTAGCCTTGACTGGCCTAGAACTCACTCATCTAGCCACCCGGGCTGGCCTTGAACTCACAGAGATCAGCCTGTCTCTGCCACCCAAGTGCTGAGATAAAAGGCATGTACCACCTCACCCAGCACCACACCTATGTTTTAATCCTGTAGGAGATTCTGAGAGCTGCTTGCTCTCCCTACCCCCTCGGAAACCGCACCCTGTCAGCCTCGCAGCTGCGGACCTGGGAAGGAGGCTGTTTCCTTTTTAAGCCACCGGGAAAGTTCTTACACGGTGGGCTGGGGTGTGGCTCAGCGGCAGAGCACTTAGCCTAGATGTGCAAATGCTGAGTGTGGTCCCCAGCACCCTACACATCATACACACTACACACACCAAAACAGCCCTTGCAGCGGGAGCAGTTTTGTTTCTAAGGTGCATGGACACCACGACTTCAGTGTGACTTGCGCTGTTCCACGTTCCCTGTGAAGCTCAGCCACCTGGAGCATCAGCTGCTTCCTCCTCTGAGCCTGAAGCTTTATGTTTCTGAGGCCATCTGTGTTGGTCAGCTTTCATAACTACAAGAAAGTACTGGAGGGGATCATGTGAAACAAGAAAGGTTTGTTCTGGCTCCTAGCCGTAAGGACCAGTAGCTTTGGAGCCTGCTGTGAGACAGCACGTCATTGCCAGGAGCCAAAAAGCAAAAGAGAAGAGAACATGGGGGCACACCCCCCAACACCTTCCCTAGACCTCCCTCCTAAGAGTGCTACCACTTCCCCATAGCGCCAAATGGGCGCCAGGCCTTCAACACATGGGCTGTACCGAAGGGGTTGCGCGGCTGCTGTCCTCGGTGCTGAATCCAAGGCTGACGTCCCGCTCCTCCCTCAGCTCTACTTCCTCGCTCCTTTCCTTCCCTCCTTCAGGCCCATGGCTTGGGAACAGACAGAGCAACGGAGTGGATCTTTACTTGTGGTCACCGCTGCAGCCCAGGTCCTGGCCCAGACCCTCCCTCCAGGTGGTCCTCCTCCCCAAGAGTTCCTCACACCTCTCAGATGGGTGATAGGAAGAACAGCAGGCAGGAATCTTACCTTGAACTCAGAGATCAGCCTGTGGTTTAAAAAAGGAAACGGCCTCCTTCCCAGGTCCGCCGCTGCGAGGCTGACAGGGTGCGGTTTCCGAGGGGGTAAGGAGGGCAAGCGGCTCTCAGAATCTCCTACAGGATTCAAACATGGGCGTGGTGCTGGGTGAGGTGGCACATGCCTTTAATCTCAGCACTCGGGAGTCACCCTGGGTACAGCCAGACTCCAGGTCTCCTGTGATGAGGTCCAAGCAACGTGGAAAGGGGTCCTGATGGTTCATCCATGGCAGAACTGGCTCTCTGACCCAACCACTTCCAGGCCTGGCTCTCTGAATCTCCACCAGACTCCTCCCTTCTGGGAGACCACACTCACTTCCTCCCCCATTCAATGCCCTTAGACAAAGGAGACCCTCTTTCCCGATGGCTCCAGTAGAAGCCCCAGGCACTGAAGATCTGTGTCTCAGCCTAAGCCACTTCACTGTGTCCTGGAGCAGGAGAGAGGTACCATGACCTGGTCAGAGCCAACAGCCTGGATCAGCCTTAACCCATCTTGAGGTGGGGGGGGTAGGGAGACTTCTCAGTGGAAGATCAAAGCTCTGTTACCAAAAGTGGGTAGCCGGGTGAGAAGACAGGGGCTTCTTCATGGGACTTGGGAGCTCATGAAGCTTCATCTTCAAGGTCTTAAGAAAGCATGGTCCCGTCTTCCAGACATTGCCTTCCAATGCCAGCAGGGAACCGTGTGATTAAATCTCCATTATTAACTCGCCAATCTTATTTCTGGGGCACAGACGCTAACGGCTTAGGGGACCCACTTGGCATATAACGAGGTCTCCATGACAAATTACTTGGGTATCAATTAACTATCTAGGGAAATGTCAAGCAGGATCTGTCATGCTGGCAGGGAGAGAAAGCCAATTAACCTGGAACGGCCAATCCGATCCAGATTCAGCCTCCAGCAGGGCTGGGAATGAGGTGAAGGGCTTTCGGGGGCCCAGAGTGGGTGGAGCCTCGCCTCCATCCCTAGACTGTCCAGCGTGCAGGCCACTGGGCCGGGAGTCTCAGCACAGGCTCGGTCCCTTGTTCATAAAAGGGTCACTTGCCTAAAGGGGTCACAGCTGAGGAAGGATGACAGTGCAGCCAGCTGTCCGCTCTATGATGTGTGTCACTCTGCAAGAGCCCAGGGGGTGACAGCATCCACAAGACAGTGTGGAGGGGGGTTCAGGGAAGGAGTCCATTACAGAGCTGGGAGGTCAAGAAGTAGGCTCCAGAGACAAGGGCCTAGTAGGGGAGGAGGAGCAGAGAACAGCTGAGGTACCACCTGGAGACAGGCTGCATCGGCTTGTGGAACTGCTGGCCACATGCTGGCAGCCCCCAGCAGAATCCAGGCTCTATCACCAGTGGGCTGTGAGACTCTGAGGTGGTCTCTGAAAAGCTTTCTGGGCCTGGTTCCTGGGGTGCTGTGAGAAAGAATAGTGGTCTACAGCAGCTGTAGCTGAATTTGGTCTCTCCCCCCACCTCTAGCAGGTGCAGGTTTGGCTATGTCTTCTGGTGAAGGCCTGCACAGGGGCATTGGGCGAGGTGGCTCAAGCTGTTCAACTGGAACTCTAAACTACAAAGATTGAGGGACAGGCTCAGGACGCTGGCCTCTATATGCCAGTACCGCCTGTGCACTGGAAGGATTGACTTTGCTTTTCAGCACCTCTGGGTACTGGGATGTGCCCACTCTGGGGAGAACGGCTGCCCATGCCATGACCCACCCCACCCTGTGGCTTTGCCCATGCTGCCCAACCCACGCCCCAGTCTACTCAACCACCAGTGATTGGCAGCTGCCACTTCCCAGCCCCCAAGCCTCATGCCTATTCATGACACTGACATATGGCACCTCCGCGGGGGGCTGGAGGGAGCTGCCAGTTGAAAGAGTGCAGCGTGTCCCCATTCGAGCCCTGCTGAAGCAAAACAAATGCAAGATGCGAGGGAGCAGAGGCGGCCTGGAGGCGTGCGTGAGCACATGTGCATGTCTGTGTGTCTGCACACTTCTCTCATCCCACTGAGGAGGGGCCAGAGTGAACAAGGAGACTGCAAAGACTGGGGCTTCAAAGGTTCCTGGTGTCTCCACTATGGGGTCCTGAGGAATTAGGCTGCCCATATGTGACCCCAAGAAGGCTTACACGCAGAACACTTAGCTAGCTCCAAGACACTCACCTCTCCTCTTACAGTGAACACTGGGCTACAGGCCATGAACAGATGTCTGCAGCCCCATGAACCTGCAGATCCTCGAAAGTTCTTTTTGTAATCAGGATGTACCTAATGTTAAACCAGAGTTCAGAGGGCTCCAGAGTCAACCAGCATCTTCTGGTTTTGGCTTTTCATTGTTTAACAGAAACTCCTATGTAGCCCAGGCTAGCCTCAGCCACCTGAATACTGTGCTCCACTGCACCCTGCTTATTTTTAGTAGGAGTGGTGTGGCTCATATTAGTGGGTAGAGGGCACTGCAGTGCTTTCTCCCAAAGTTCCTGCTACATTCCTGGCTCACCCTCCAGCAACCTGATCAAAAGGCTGGAGAAGGCAGAGCTAAGCCAAAGGTGAGTTCCCAGAGTTGTTTGCAGGTCTCCTCCTCCCAGCCCAGGGCTGGAAACCAGACAGAATTCTTTACCTGTGTGTGTCCTGGAAGTGACAGGTGGGTCCAGAGACAATGACCACCACCTCCCAGGAGTTGTAGAACAGCCTTCCTACCTTGCACTGCTATCTGCCCCCAGTGGTGGTAAGGGGGAGTCAGGGGAGAAGACTGAAAGGGGCCCTAGAGTATGGGTTGAGCTTGCAAGGCCAGGATGCTCAGGTGAGCTCAATGTGCCAGCCTTCCTTCCATTATGCTGGAGGTGCTGGTCTTCTGGGAAGCTCTGGGCCCTCCCCATGAGCCTCAGCACACACTTGCAGCAGTGGTGGCCTTCTTGGGGGAAGCACAACTGGAGTTTGGGGGCAGGACCTCCACACTGTGGGCCTGCCTCCAGAAGTCAAGGAGCTGCAGTGTGCTGTCCCTACAGGTGTGAAGACCTGCATAGCTGCAGTGGGAGGGGACTGCAACCCTACCGACACACATCCTCAGCCCTGGCAGGCCATCTGAGTGTCTTGACCTGCCTGGCCTCCCCTTGGACAAAGTGCCACTGCCCCAGCAGTGTTTGGGGAGCCAAAGCCCCTGCCCTGGCTGGCAGCACTCAGGTTCAACTGGGCACTGGGCCGACTGCGTTTCAGGCACCGCTGTGCATCGAGGCATCTGCTGCCACCGTCTTGGGGCAGATGGCTGCCAGTGAGCTAAGTGTGTGCGGGGGAAGGGGTGCCATAGGAACCCCTTCCCGCAGGGAGCCTGGGGGTGGGAGAGGCAGGCACCCGCTGGAGCAAGCTGGGAACAGACCACATCCAAGGGAGGGACTGGGATCACATGGGCTCCCAGTGGGGTGAAGTTTGTGGAAGCCTGGCCCAGCCTCAGAAGAGAGGTGAGATGCTGGGCCTACAGAGTAGGGCTGCCCTGTCCCATCAAGTCTGGCTGGGCAGTCTTGGGCAAATCCCTTCTCTTTCAGGTCCCCAGGGACTGAAGGAGTGCCATCTTCAGGCATCTGCCAGCTCCCAAATCCTGAGCTTCAGCAGGATGGGGGTGTCACCAAGACACAGACATATCTGGGGAGGGTACAATGGGGATATCCCAGCATACTCTTCCAGGCCATTCAGGGATCTCTGAGGCTGGGCTTGTACTGTGTTAGTTGAGGTCAGTCTTCAGGGCAGTGCTCCTCATGAGCTATCTCCAGCCCCGCTGGCTGCAGCAGGAACCATATAAGGGTCTAGCCAGGCTGCTGCACAGGATGCTGGCGGGGGTCAGAAACCTAATCCCATCATGGCTGCCCCTAAAGCTCCGCCCGCTCTGCCCAGGACTAACAGAAGGAGAGCCCAGAGTCCCAGTTTTCAAGGAAAGAATGAGAGGCAGAATTTGCCCTGGAGAGGTGTGAGGAAGTGGGCCGCTGCCCATGGGTCCCTCAGGGATATTGGGACCCAAAAAAGGAAATGTGGGAAAGTTGTCAAGGAAGTGACTCAAGGCCATCAACAATCTTGCAGGCCTGTTTTGTGGGATTCTGAAGGACATCCCTAGAACTCCTGCTTTAGGAAAGCAGCATCTACCCAGGCCCCAAGGCCTGTCCTCAGCTTGCACACCTGAGGCAGCTGTTCCCTTACAATTGCCCATTGATGATGCATACCTCAGTCACAGCTGAAAGGAGGGTGAGGAGGCCTGAGCATCAGCCAGACCCGGGCCTCCTGATGCAAGGATGCCCAGAAACTGGGCTCTAGTCAGCTCCATGCCAGTCCCAGCATGTTAACCCTGAAAAGACCCTGTGTCCTCTGGAGAGGCTTCCTGGTACCTACCTCCAGAAGTCCTAGAGGACAGCAACTGGGCCCTTCATGTCTCCCCTTCCCTCCAGGACTACGGTGGTCATTCCTGGCTGGCTGCGCTCTCTGGCTCTCACACCAGATGCCTCCTCCTGCCGTGACTCAGCCCGGCTGTTTCCCAGCCTCCCTTTTGCTAGCGGCTGCCTTTTTTTTTTTTTTTTCCCTAAAGTATGACACTGCCAATGAGCCAAGGCCTGGTAGCTCCTACAACCCTGGCCTCTGCCTATAAGTGACCAGGAGGGGCCCTGACTCATGCTGGCTGAGGTGGCTGATAGGCAGATACTGGGTCAAGGCACCCTTGGGCACCAGAGACTGTCCCCTCCAGAGCAGGCACAGGCCTTACCTCAGTCCCACCTGATTCTGCAGGTGCTAGGCCACCTGTCCAAAGTCAGCCTCCCCAGCTGCCTCATGACCCAAGGATCCTTGATGTCAGAGGGTGAACATCCAGAGGTCAGAGACCTTCTTGGAAAGGGAAAGGCCCAGAGTCCCAGTTTTCAATGGGTAAGAAGCAGAGACTTTGTCCTGGAGAGGCGTGGGGCTGTGTGCCACTGCCCTGGGCTACAGCGGAGCATTGCAACATGGAAAAGCCCTCTCCAGATGAAGGAAGCCTGTGGTTCTGTCAGGCACTGAGTTCCCTGTCCCTAGGAAGTTCCCTGTCCCTAGGAGTCTCCGTGCAAAGCAGGGTGACCCTGGTGTTTCTGGGCCTCTCCTGGAGCTAGGCTCACATGGAAGAGTGGTAGAGACAGCATTAAAAACAGGAATGGGAAGGAGGCCCAGTTTGCCTTTCCTCATCCTTAAAGTGGGGTTATTTCCTTTAAGGGAGGTACCAGGGCCAACACAGTAAGACAGGAGCTGCAAGGTGTGCTCAGATAACACAATCCCATTCCAACTCTGCATATGGAAGGTCCTCTAATTGTGAGGGCATTTGCTCCTGAGGACAGAAGAAACACTTGGGGAGAAGAAAAGGGAAGCAGTGGGCATCGAAGGACTTGCTGACCTTTCTTGACCTCCAAGAGGGGCCTGGCTTGGAGGGAGGATGGCAAATGTCTCCTGCTTCCTGGACAAGGGCCCAGAGTTCTAAGGTCCAAGTAAGTGGGGTCTTTATGGTACCTAGAGGTGGGAGAAGGCAGATACCTGCCTCTTTGGATACCACAAATGACATGGGGCTTAAATAACTGAGGGGGAAAGACAGCCCCACAGCCAAGTGGGGGATAATGCAGTCGGTTCCTCCATCTAGCCCAGAACTTCCTTCCTGCCTGCAGTCCCTTCCTCTGCCGTGCCCCTTCTTTTCCTCCTTCAGCTCTGTGTTCACATCTCATGCCCTTGAAAGGGGCTGAACTGTGGCCTCAGAAAGACATGTCAACCCAGAACCTCTGACTGGGATCTTATACAGACAAGGGTCTTCAGATGTCACCAAATCACATGTCCCAAACACATGTCTCAGCACCAGGCATGAACCCAGCAGCACATAACTGCTGCCCTGAAGCCAGGACACTCTGCACTATTGCTTCAGCAATGATCACCTCCAAGAGAGCCAGAGGACCGAGCAGTGGGGCAGGGCCAACTGCCTGCAGTATAGCTGCAAGGGAGTCAGGGGAGGAGAGTTGCCACTCCTGCCTGAGGCACATGGGACCCCTCAAACAGAAAGGATGCCCATAAAGTAGCTTCTGTTCTAACCCTATCATGCCAGCAGCTGACCTGGCCCCACTACTCAGTTTCCTGCCTCTCAGGGGTAACCTTTACTGAAGCAATGGGGCTGCTGGATCCATGCCCAGTGGTGGAAGGTGTGATTGGGATGTGTGGCCTCCAAGACCAGCTCCACGGCTCTCCGCATGCGTCAGTGAGCATGAGCCTCCTCATATCCTGCAATGGCTCCATTCCTATGAAGCCAGCCCAAGTGGGTTCTGTTGGCCCGTGGAGGTGTGTAGTAGGCTGATGGGGTGTCCTGGGGCATAGCTCTCAGCTCTTTCCATGGGGCAGGAGGAGGGCAGGGAGGTCTTTCTCAGAGACCAGCTCCTGAGATCCTTCCCCTCCCAACCTGGCTGGATGGAAGGCCTGCCTCATGGGGTCATGACGGGCCCACAGGTCCTAGGGTGTTGGCTCAGGCTGGAAATGTCTGGGGTGAAGATACGGGGCCCCCATGCTGAAGAGGCCTCTAGCTCCACATTCCTTGGCTCAGGTGCTTGCTCTGCTCCCACTGTGCCCCAGCCCCTTGGGCCCTCAGGCCGGCCCCCTCCCTCTGTCTGTCCTCCTCCTCTGTACTACCCCCTTCTTAGAAATGAAGTCATCTAGAAAAATAATCCAAAAATAGAAAGGAAAAAAAACTAAAAGTGGGATTTTTTTCACCCCCCTTCAAACATTTGGTAAGACACCTCCCACACGGATGAGTGTCCACAGGGGCCTGTTTTGGTCCAAGGGAGACTGTGTGCCTCAGGCTACGTGAGCCAGGTGGGCTCCTGGGCCCCATGATAGGGATCCCCATGAGGCCTCCCCACCCCACTTGGCAAGGGTCAGTCACCAACACCTGAGCCCTGAGAACCCTGGGACCCCAGAGCTGCCATTAACAGGGAGAGACCCACCAAGTCCGAGGCAGGAAGAGGGCCCCGTGGGTACCAGGCCAGGGAGCGGACTTAGCTCCTAGGTGGCTCCTTACCGCCTGTCTCTCCCTCTTCCCACCAGCCCACACCCTGCTGCAGAGTTCTAGTTTGTTTATTTATAATTTATACTCAGCCTGCTTCCAAGAACACTCCGAGGCCCTTGCTGAAAAGCTGCTTCCTGGCTCCGCTGTGCTGCTGTCAATCCTGGGCTGAAAGCCTGTCCAGGCTGTGTCACTCTCAAGCTGACTGCTCAGCAAGGTTTCTAAGGCCCTCTGGATGGACAGAAAGATGGACAGACATGGCCCCAAATGTAATCTTCCCCATAGCGCCCATGGGTCCTGGCTTCAGGATGCAGTACACATGAGGGCTCCAAAGCACTCTTGAGATGAGACCCCTCTTCATGCCTTCCCCAGTGGGAGGAGGCTGACTGGGACCTCTCCTTCCCTTGTTCTACGTGTTCTGCCACCTGATGCAGGCTGCCCCTTCCTGCCCCCGGACTTTGCCCTGCTCTGCACACACTACTACAGACAGTGGGAGAGGGAGGCAAGATCATGATCCAGTTGCAGGTTTTCTGAGTGGACACCATGAGGGGCACATGGGAAGGGACCTTTAGGCAGGAGAAGCTGAAAGGAGCCGCACCCTTGAGCCTTGACCCATGGCTGTGAAAAGACGATAAAGACTTTTCAGAACTTGAATGCCAAGGGAGAATGCAGCAGGGTGAGGATGTGTGTGGGCTCGGCTGCATTAGGCAGCTGTGGACTCACAGCTTTGAGGAGAGAGGTGGCACCCCTGAGCAGGGGTGTTTGGATGAGAAGATGTTAGTCTACTCCCCTGCCCCAGAGAGTTAAGAAATCTCTCTCCTGCACTTAGGAAGTAAAGGCACTTGGATCAGGAGTTCAAAGCCATCCTTAGCTACACCAGACCGTCTCCCCCAACTCCCAATTTTTAAAATTTATTTATTTATTTATTTATTTATTTATTTATTTATTTATTTATTTATTTATTTCATGCATATGGGTGTATTGCCTGCATGTAGGCAAGTGCACCTGTGTCATGCAATGCTGACGGAGGTCAGAAGAGCCTGTCGGATCCCCTGGGACTGGAGTTACAGACAGTTGTTAGCTGCCATGTGGGTGCTAGGATATGAACCCGGGTCTTCTGCAACAACCAGTGTTCTTAATCGCTGAGCCATCTCTCCAGCCCCGAAATCTATCTCCTTTTAAAACAACAAGCCAAAGCTAACTGACACACCAGGGCATGCAAATGCTGGGTCAGCATCCCACCTTGTGAGACTGTCTAGGAAGAGGCTCTCCTTGGACCTTCGGCCATTTCATGGCAACACAAAGACAAGGAGGGCTCCAGGGAAGGACACTCTGACCACAGGAGGCTGAGCAGCCAGGCTGGGATAAGCTTTAAGGGTAACCCAGGGTTGTTCCCATGGTAACAAAGGCCAGCTAGAGGGCTCCCCAGAACCCAGACCTCATTCCTAACTCCTGAGCCCCTATGGAGGCCTTGTTCTTGCTTCTGGCCGGAATTCACCCTGAGCCCTGGGGCCGGTCTTTCTTCACCGGCTTCTTGCAGTGGCCAGCCCTCACGGAGCATCTCCTCACGGTGCATCTTTTCCTGCATAGAATCGTCCCAGGCTTTTCCCTTTGCTGGCTCTGAGTTTGGCAGAGCAGGCGATACCACTGCCAGTCACGGGCACATGCCATAGGCCACCCCTTCCTCCACCATCCTCAAGGCCTACAGCCCACAGGCCTGGCATCCACAGTGGCATCCAGTGCCAATTCCTCCCTCCTTTGGCTTAAGATGTACAGCCTGGAAGACAGGAAGCCCTGGCACAGCAAGGCTCTGGGGATGGCTCTTGGGAAGCCTCAGTGGGACAGGCAAATGCCAGCTGGGGCATAGCAGGGATATTCCACTACTTGGTAGGCCCACTATAGAACGTGGCCTTTCCCAGGTGTCGACTCTGCCACCGAGCTCTGTGGGGCCACAGATTTCCTGGCTGTGGAAGTTGAAGCAGACCAGCTGTCCATTCCTGGCCACAAAGCTCTGTGCCATAAGGCCAGAGTCGACAGGACCCCATGCGGACACAGCCCTGGAACCTCTTACTCTGGGACTGAGGAAGGCAGGGGCATGTGGAAGGGAGAAGACAGCCAAGCAGGATCCTGACAGAAATGCATCTGAGAGCATCTGCTGCCATAGTGGCTTTGCAGTACTTACAAGGTCAGTTAGCATATGGCTAGCCTGGCCTGCCCAAACCACATGCCTGCAAGGAGCTCCTCTCCCAGTGCCCAGGTCTACAGGGAAGCCAGTTATCTGGATGTTTGGATACAGTTCTGGGCAGCCCTGGAGGCTTGTCTGGCTTCCTGCCTGGGCTGGGCATGTGATCCCTCAGACACAGCGGGTAGTGTGGCCTGGGTCAGAAGCAGGCATTCTTCTTTGTAAAAGGTTAGTCAGCTGAACAAGAGAGCCACATCAAGCAGAGTCAGGGATGTGGTGATC